CGCTGCTACTTCATAAAATATAGAACATTCAGCATAGAAACGGGTTTATTGCGTTGTTATTTAACTAACATTATATTTAATTACTTATATTTGAGTATCTAATTGATTACTTATATTGGAATATATCTGAGAATAAAGCGAGAGATATAATTCGAAATATTCCAAAAATGTTCCTCTTCATAGCAAATTTCTTATTAGAATATTACTTATATGTTGAGATTAATATAAATTTTATTTATATTTGATAAAAATAATTGAATGTTTAATGTACTGTTGAGTAAAGTGGAAATTTGATTGTGAAAAAAGTGCGAACAAAATAGTTTTCTCTTTTCGTGACGCGAATTGTACGGATGAAGAAAAGGGGAAGGCAGATATCAATCACGCGGATAGTGACGGGCTGAGATTTGGTAGCAGCTTCCAAGCTGAAGAGTAGCATGGGGAAATTCTACCCGCAAACAACTCCGTCCATTCCATCATTATTTTTCTGAGAAACTCACTGTATTGATTCACAAGTTATCAAGGTGTCAACACAGTCTTTTCTTTATACGAGTGGTCATTATTCAATTGTCACAATGTTTACTGTACTGTAATTATGACTTTAATAATTACAGTAAAAATACATGATATATAACAATTTTAATATTAAAAAACCTCATGATCAAAAAAATTTTCAATATAAATTAATTAAAATTTTATGTGATTTTTGTTACATATTTTTTTAAAACACATCCTGTGATGTGCATAAAACATTTTATGTAACAAATTCAGCTGAGAGAGTGAGATGCTATGTTTTATGAAGAAAGAACCACATTTTTCTAGTTTTGACCAATATCAGTTACATTTTTCAGAATACTGGACCCTTGGGAATTCAAAGGTTGGACAAGACAGACAGCTAGGTTGCGTACCATAGCGTCTGCAAACGCGATGTGACGTTCATGCGCACAGTAGGTCGAGAGGAATTATTATAATACCATTTCTCATTGATATACAGTAACTAGACATTTATTCAAACCAACAGTACGCTGAAGATATTCGACTATAATGAAAAAGAGTATTATGATTTATTGTTGTTTTATATTTTTATAATATTATTATCTATGTTGTAAATAACTATTTTAAAAATCAAAATTGCTTTTTTTATATGTACATATAACTTGCAATTGATATTATATATATAAATTATCGTTTTTCTGTTTGTATTATAAAAATACTATTTCCACAAACTATTAGGTTCTATCAGGTATTTGAATTGAATACGCGCGTGTGTTCTGTTAATTCCGTTTTTTTCTGAAGCAGAATTTGTGCCCTCTATGATATAACAGTTGAACAGTCTACTCCAGAAATTCTTATGGCAACGCGTACCATCAGTAACAAATTGTGCTTACCAGCTGCTAGTTTCGATTGGCAAATCTTACTACAGTTACAGAATTTTCGATAGATGGCAGTACAAGTGAAACGCAGCCATCATGAATCAAATGTTGAAAAGAAGTGGGGATGATAGTGACGAGAGGTGGTCCTTTGCTGGTTAAGCCTACCACTCAAAGGGTGGAGTTTACCACGCGTAAGCTGTGTGACTATACTTGCAGTTGCAGCATTGGCGTAGACTTGAGATCGGCAACTTTACGCTGCTTGAAAGTGTCCGTAGGCATCATGTTCGCGAAGCAGTGAATGAGAAGGATAGCGAAAGAACGTAAACTGTTATAGGGCCGGCGTATTCTTGACTGAAACTTTGCTATACAAATTCTTTAGTCATCAAGATATTTTCTTTAGCAATTTTTTCATACTAAAAAAGACTACATTAGCGCACACATTGTTTAATCTGATATGTGTTAAGAAATAAATATGTATAATAAATAAATGTGAAATCAAATGTTTAAAAATAGAAAAAATTAGAAACTATTTATAATAACTAGGACAACACAGGCGCGCGCTACGCGCACGCTATTGTTATTTTTATTTAACGTGTTGTCAGTAAACACAACCTGTCACCGCGATGACAGATAGTATATACGTCTTATAAACCATATAATACACATATGAGAAATGTCAGAAATAACGCATGAAAATCAAACTCAAAAAATAGTGAGAGAGAGAAGTGGAAAAACAACACGTGTGACTAAAGTCACGTGACAGGGAAAAGGGTAAAAAAGAGAATATTATATATATTATGTGTAATATTCTATATCTATATATAATACATACACATACGCATATATGTAATCACGTAACCGAAGTCAGTAACCCCGCCGCGGTCGCGCGGCTAAAGTCAGTGACCCTCCCCACCAAGGCCGCGCGGCCGAGGTCAGTGACCCGCCAAGGCCGCGCGGCCGAGGTCAGTGCCCCGCCAAGGCCGCGCGGCCGAGGTCAGTGACCCCGCCAAGGCCGCGCGCCCGCGGTCAGTGACATTACTGTAGTATGTATATAATACATATAATACAGTATAAAGTATAATATATTATAAATAAATATTATAATATATTATAAATATTATAAATATATAATAAAGTATATGTATAATATGTATTATTTAATGTTATATATAATATAAATTACAATCACGTTATTTTTACGTGTTGTTTTTCTACTTTTTCCTGTCGCGTGACTTTAGTTACGTTTTTAATTTTCTCTACATATACGACGAACTGTCTCAAAATCGCTTTTCATTATTTACTCTCTCGATCTTACCGATTCGATTCGACTCGATCAACCAACCAACCAATCGGCAACGCAGAAAAGAGGCAACAATCAAGATCGATAGAATCGATTCTGATTATTTGTACACGCTTTTTCTGGTAGGTGGAACTAAAAGAATGTAAAAACTATGTTATGTGTGTTAACATTGTGCTACCCATACTATTGTGTGCTTTTATGTCAACAAAATGTTATGATATAGTAATGCTTTTTTGGTGTTGCTGCGTCTATTACCAAAGAAAAGCCTGAGAGCAACCAGGCCCATAAGAAAATGTGTAATCACTTTTGCGCCCCGTAAACTAGCGCACGTCCACGGGTAGACATTGGAACTACGCAGCCATATGTCCACGAGCGACATGTTGGTGCACTATGTCCACAGCGTGCGGTTCTATTCTTTGCTATGTGCACGAGTCCAAATGGTCATCTTCTTCAGGCGTATGAGTATATTCGCGAGCGTGGATTTAATTACTTTTGGAATTTAAAATGACCAGTCTTGTGATGAGAAGATAAGAAAGGAGAACAGAAAAGGATAAGAAAAAACATAGCAACTTTTCTCACATTTATGTTATGTAGAAAGTTGCTATGTTCTTTCTTATCCTAGCTTTTTGTGGACGTGGTTCTATTCCGTGCTAAGTTTGTGGACATGGTTCTATTCCGTGCTAAGTTTGTAGACATGGTTCTATTCCGTGCTATGAGAACACCGACGTGGTGGGGATACGCACACAAGCAAAAATCGTCGTCATACATCGACATAATATGTCTGCACTCTTCCACGAGCGCACACGGACAACGGTCTCGCTTGTGTGCGTATCCCCACCACGTCGGTGTTCTCATAGCACGGAATAGAACCATGTCCACAAACTTAGCACGGAATAGAACCATGTCCACGAAAAGCTATCGCAGAAACTCTTATGGCCGTGGCCGCTCTCAGGCTTCTTTCTGGCAGTACCTAAAAATTTATAATGTACGTAAATCTATAGTAACTTAAATCTTTAGAGTTTTCGCTATTGCGAGTAACAAGCGAAAAAAGTTGTACTTAGACATCATATGTTTCTAAAAGATTTTTCTTAAAGACGTTTTTTAGAGATTTCTTAGTTTTTTTTTATGTTGTCTGGTATAGGTGCATTGCGCGATCATTTTGTTATCTGAATATTTTGTATATTAACGATAGATACATATGGTTGTATCTGGTGTATCAATTATACGAATTTGTCGATTTTCAAAATTACTTATCATATAAGTATAGAACTTACATATGATAACCAAAGATTGCAGAATGTTTGTCTGTCGGTAATGTTGTGAACTGTAAGTTCTTGTTGTCACATCTCTACGTCTGACAATATATGAATTGTCATCGCGTAAAACTTGCAAAGTTTAACGTCACTTAAAGATGTTTTTCAAACAAAATATATAAAGTACAATAAGCTCTTGTACAATGAGCTTGTGTTATTTGAAATATATTATATATTTATTTAAAAAAACAGCTTCTGCAATATCAATTAAACGCAAGATTACAGATTTCTTAGTTTCTCCGTTATTGCTTGTGTAAATAACTTTCTAAAATGAAAGAAAAGAGTCTAAAGATTCTTGGAAAACAGTACTTTCTCACAAAAAATTGAAAGAAAATCTGAAATCTATAATTTTGCATTTAGTTGATATTATTAACAAGCTCGGTATTTTTTTAATGCAACAAGAACAATAATAACTTTATAACAGCCAAAAAAGATATGAGAGTTTTGAAAGTTTTATTTTTGCACAAATTATTCTTTTTTCCCTATTTGTAAGAAAGGATTTATTTATGTAAGATTAACAACCATATTATTTGTCCTATTAAGAACTTTTTAAGGACAATTGTGTGTAGATATTCTTTTTTATGTTTACATATTAATTAAATATAAAAATTGTTTAAGAAAAATAAATTTTTTTATATAGTTGTATATTAAGCAATGCTAAACGAAACTATTACATCACTTATAAGTAATACGCTTCTCTCGCTAAAACGATTCGAAAATTTGTTACTCTTCAAATATTCATTGGAATGATTTAGATTAAATACGATAAGTTATAAACATATTAAGAAATATATATATAAAATTATCAAAAATAAAACTCTGTGTTTGTGTGTGCATAGTAGTATAGTTGTGTGTTCTCTTCATTTTGTCTGATGATAGAGAAGTGGTAGTGGTGGTAACTGTCACCGAAGACAATTTATGTTAATGACTGTTCGTAACCGAGGAGCGTCGAGGTCGCTCAACAGAACAGTCTGCAGGTCGCCGTAGCAGCGGTCGGACACGATGCTGCTGCTCGACTTTCGAATTCTCCCTACTCCAACCCTGAATTCACCACCTTATCGTGCCGTGACCATTCCATCCCTACGATGGCGACGCCCAGCGTCGATTCCTGCGCATTTTCATCCCCAGCTCGGAGGGTCTCGTTCTGCGATGGCTTCGATAGATGCTTTTGTGCACTCGTCGTAAGAGAGAAAACACTATATTGTGATAAAATTAGTGGATTAACACAAAGTTAGTGATTTGTGAAGGATCATATTCGATGTAATTCTTGGTAAGTTTTTTTGTATTTCTTTTCTTTAAATAAAAAATTAGTTTATAATTATAGATACATATAAAAAAACTGATATTTGATAATATTAATAGCTCTTAAAACTAAGATTCTCTTGAGAAAAACAAAATATCTCTTACTTGTTAGTTCACATGACGTTGTAAAAAGATAAAACGGCTCTTGACATATACGCGTTACATTGGCTTTTTTTATGTTCTAAATTTCTGTTCTTTCTAAATACAAATTAAAGCTACACAATACAAGCAAAATATTTTTTAATCCAAAAGCTTGTAAAAATAAAATCACATAATTGTAAACAATATTATTCTCTTTAAATATTTAGTTTTTCAGGATTTGTAAGAATTAATGGTAAAATATTTCATTTTTTGCTTTACAACAATAAACTGTTCATACATTATATTTTCTTTATATGTGGAATATATTTAATCTCGAAAACACATCGCATCACACACAAGATTTACACTTTACGTATTTACTTTACACCTAAATATATAACGCACATTTGTAACTTTAACCAACGTAACAAATTAATGACTAAAAGAAAAGAAAGAGTGTTCTGTTCTATATTTTACGGTACAAAAATGATTGCGCGCATATGAATATATAAATAATTTCCTCCGAGCTATAAATATGTCGATATATTCATGTCCGACGGACTGTGAAGAGCGTAGCAAAGTATTAGCTAGCTTTGTCCTTGTATATTAACTGGCCTACTATGATCAAAAACTAGTTTTCTCGAAGTAGATTACTAGTTTACGTATTTTGCAATATCTGAGAGACAGATCTTAGACCACTAAACATGTTCAAAAATGTACAAAACGTAATTATTTTGTCTGATTCTTCTTTCTTCAGTTGTTGAATCTCTTATTCGTGTTCAACACTGACAATATACTTGATATTTTTTAATTCCGCTTCTTTCATAATTCGTCAAGGTTGTTCTATTGATGCATAGTTAAATGAGAAATATCATTAACATGATGTCGATAGTCACATCGAGTTATATATTTCGACACATGTATATACCATCGCCCGCGGTGGCGCCGACGGTGGCGAATTTCGCGATTTCTCTATAGCCTCTCGCAATCTGGCGGGATGCCGATCGATTTGCACAGCGTTCCTCACACCCGCGTACAATTCCGTTTCAGTTCATTTTGTAACTCGCGCGATAGCACGCATGTAAAACGACGATTTTCACGAATGAGAATTTTTATTTTTACGAAGGTTTTTAATAAATATCAACATGGAAACGTCGGCTCTTCCCGTAAACACATATTCTCATGAATAAAAAGAACTTACCTTACGTATAAACTTGATAAAATTTTATACAGCTTGTCTGTATATATTTTTCTTCAAATGTTTTTTTATGATGGAAAAATATAAAAAAAAAATATCAACTAAGTTTATTTTATATCTGGTAGTAAACAACGTATTAATACGCATTATTTTGATTTTGTTCCAAAATGTATCTAGTAAATAAACTTATCTACTAGAAACGTCTCTTCTTTTTATGTAAAAACTTATAAAATTTGAAGCAAGAACACATATGTACATTAGTGCATATACCGGTTGAGAATCCAATCACAAGCTTACTTTTTATATTCCACAACTAAACTTCCAATTTGTAAACACAATCAAGTTTTTTAACAAAAAATTGTTAAAAAATGGAAAGAGAAAGAGATAAAAAGAAAGAAAAAGAGAAAACAATTTTATATTTTTTAATTTTTAAACAACTGTTAAACACACTTTACTCATGTATTAAACATGATCTCAAGTACATATTATTTTTTAAAAAACCTGTATTTTGCATTTCCTATATATGTCTGCGCCAATATATATAGAGACACACACACCTGAATTTAAAAGATAGAAAAAAAGGGGGATTTAAAAATGCAAAACGTATCGAAGATAAATATAAATTGAGTTATAAGACGGCGCGTGTGGATGAAGAAGAGGTATCATGACATGACAAAGTGTTAAATGATCGATGTGTTCGATTTCCAGAAGAAGTATAGCCACTGTGATTGTCATATTCACTAAGAATGTTCACCAACAACATGTCCAAGCAACACGTGTTTGGCACGCGTACTGTGATATCTTGTTTTTCTTTTTACTTTCTATGAAAGAGTTTACAATAATACTCAATCAAGTTTACTGGGCTGAGAAAATAGTAATATAATATTTATGAAGAAGACCTACATTTGTGTGTGTGGTTTTATAGAATTTTGTTTGGTAAGATTTAACGCTACGCTTTGTTGTAAACTTTAGAAAATGAATGAAAACAAAAGACTTATTCAACACTTGATTTTGTACAATTTTCCATTAGAAACGCATTAATAAAACATCGCGCAATTTTCTGTTGCTTCTTAGTGCAGCTGAATTAAAGTACCAATGTCATAAATTAACACATTTCCGCAAGAAATGACATCATGCTGTGCAATTTGTGGATGGGAGATACAACGAGGTCTTGTTAATCTTTTGCAGGCGACCACACGGCTGACTTTATTCTCTCAGATTATTATCATTTGATTACCGTACAGTCTACCGTGTGTAATAACCCGAAAATATTTTTGTCCGTAAAACTGATATAATTTACACAAGTTAGATCTAAATATACATCTTATTAAGTAACATATTTCTGAGATTTGCTATTAAATAAATTATATCCTGATATTAAACACAGTAGCATTTTATTGCAAAACGAAAATAATGAGGATTACAACAACAGCAACAAATTTTAAATATTTTTTAAATATATTTTATATATTTTTAAATTTTATATATATTTGTTTTATATATTTATTTTATATATTTGTAGTTTTTTTTACATATATATTAAAGTAAGATGTAGAGAGAAGATACTCGAAATATCTCGAGAAGAAGCATTTCTTTGAACGTTTTTCTTCTCGGTATTGGAGCAGGTATCACGGTCTGTTATAAATAATGGGTCTCGGATAATGACGTCCTGTTTGACCTTCGGTTTTGTAAGGCGACCTGCTGCGTATTTCTAACGTCTTCAAAGCTTTCGTCGTAAAAATTCACTATCTCGATCTATTCTTGTAAAAAAATTCCCGAAAAAAAAGGTATGGACCATCACAAGACGTCGCATTGTACTATAAAACTACAATTTTTCAAGAAAACAGTAGGAAATAATTGTAAAAAGTTTTACATTTCAAGATTTTATTAGAAGTTTATACAATTCAAATTATAGTAAAGTTAGTATTTTGTATTACTAATTTAATACGCATTTCTAATATTATATGTTAACAATGTTTATAATATTATTTACAAATTTTTCTAAACGTACGTGGTATAACACAAAACAGGCTTTGTTTCATAGTGTTGCGATCAGAGTTGCCGCATTAATTATATCACATCAATTAAGATATTCAATAATGTAATTATTTCTCAAAATTGAAGATCGCTCTTTAATTCAACTGTATCGTGTTGCACCGATAAAGATTCGTCATTGTAGGTGGAGTCACTTATTATCGCTGCACAAAAGCCGCATGAGTTCCCTACGGATGCTGCGGGGCTCTCACGTGGATTTCATTTCAGGATCGCATAAAATGGTGCGCTGCGGGGTGAGGACGGGAGGAGGAGGAAACGCACGAGGGGAAGAGAAGAATGAAGCTACGGAACGGCAAGGGAAACGAGAGGGACGGGAAAGATGCCGGCTGGCAAGCAGATGGTTGCCCCGTTTATTGGTTTATTCGTCGGTTCAGCCATGACGTTCCGGCCATGAAACAGGCCGGAGGTTCTCCTTGTGTTGGAGAGTATCACGCAACGAGGCTACAACTGCTCTTCCTATTAAAACGCATCCGCGAGCTACTTACTCGCGTTGTACGTAAGTAATCTTCAGCATTGAACTACAGGTACACCATACGTAGCTCAAGGCTGACGGTTATTCACGTTGATCCAACTCACGTGGAAAACATCTCAGCGTTACAGATTTGTTTTTCTACGTTTTATTTTATTTATTTCTCTTTTACAGCGCCAAGGATAATCGATAATGCAATATGTTGCGTCAGCGGATAATAATTTTTATTATTTCGCAAATTTCTCTCATGCGTCTGATACTGTCCCAACCACACGGTAGCCTTATAAAAGTTGTATAATCATATGAGGTAAAGCGATGTACAAATTTTTGTAACTATAATGATAAAACATTTTGTTTAAAGCTAATGCTGAGTTAGGAGAATGAATTTTATCTTTTGATTTGTTACAGCTCTGAAAGTAATGATGTGCCAATAAATATACTTCTCGAGAGAAAAACAAGTTTGCCATCACCAACCACGTGCAAGATTGATTACACAGGTAATAATGAAACTTTTTACACACATGTTTAAATACACTTAACAAATAGAAGTAGACTATTATATAATCGAGCTTATTGTGTATAAACTTTCACATCAAAGTAAACAAATCTAGTAAAACTTGTAGCTCTTATGAGATTGATATTATATGTTGATTGATATTATATGTTATTGATAGTTTTACGTTAATGATGTCATTTTGTTACTGATGTTGTATAATTATGCACATGCATACACACACATAACACATATACGTAGATATAACATGGGTTTTTAAAAAAAACTTTCAATTTATTCGAGTTTTCTACACATGAACTCACAACAATGTGGTGGAGTTTATTATCGTACAATATTGTACAATATATAATATCACAAACGTACGATTTTGGCGGCGTACGCACATAGATGATATTCAGTAATGGCGTCTCTGGGGGCTGACGCTCGGGTCGATAGAATGAAGGCTGGTTGCCTACGAAACCCAAATACGCTCTTATTGCCGTCGATTATCCCCACCTATAATAGACTTTTCTCCAGAGACGTATAGTTAGCACCGCCACTTAAAATGTAATCGATTTTGCTTAAAAGTAAATCAACTCCTTATATTCAATAAAACTTGTATGACAAAATTTATTACACACTATGTGCACACGATTTTGAATAGAAAAAGCGAGAAATTTCAACTTTTATCTAGGGAATTTTTGTGTGTGAGAAACCTCTTCATATTACGACATGTGTCGGTAAAGTCAATTACGAGATGTCACTAGATAAAATACAAGTAAGAGATATATATATTATCTCAAGAATGTAAGGTCAATTTGCAAAAATAAAATAATTAAAATTTTTTAGATTAAAAAACAAATATAGATTTACAAAAAAAATTTAATTTATTTAACAAACCATTTTTTGTAATTTAAGCAAAAAACGAGTATTAAACAAGACACTGTCTTTGAGATAAAAGTAACATACGCAGTGACACAATGTACATTTATATTAAACCAAGTAGTTTTTTATTTTTATTTGTATTTAATTAAATAACTACTGCATTATTGTTTTTTTCTCTCTCTTTTTCTTTCTGTCTGTAAAATGTTGTCTCAAAACATATTTCTTTCGCTTTGTGATTTTAGTCTCTTTATATACTTTTACATAAGACAGCAATTTGTCCCTTTAGAGATTTCTTAATCTCTTGGGATATTTATCTAAACACCTTTACCTAAACCTAAACATATTATAGGCTAAAGAATGTGAAATTGCCTGGAAAAGTCACCTTCCGATACTTTTTAATCCGGATAAGGGATTTGTCGCAGGTTGTTGCAGTTAAAAGAGAGAGATTACCACGTTTAAAAGGATATCTAGCATTCTAATGTTTGAAAAGCCGTAGTTTTCGTGATATATTAGGGATCTATTTTAAATATGTTTCTTCTGTAAGTGAGAAGTATCCTTTTTCTCTGTTTCCTCTTTTTTCTAGAGACTGCGTATATATTTCTAAAGTAAACCTAATATACACTAAAACTAAATATTTTTGAAATTATAACATATTGTGACAAAATATTGTTTCTAAAAATATTTTGTTTTTATATTATACTGTTGTGCGACGTACCAAAAAGATGTTTAAAAGTCTTTTCTTTGTTAATTGCATGCGAACGACAGCGTACACGACATGACCAAGTAACCTGGAAATGAAAGGGGGGTACGTCGACACACGTACAGGAATAAAAGGAGCTGTACCGCTAAGAAGACGAAGAAGAAGAAGAAAGAGGAGAAGAAGAAGGAGAAGAAAACCAAGGAGAACGCGACCTTGCTACATTCAGCTGTGTCATCCTTGAGCCGTTAACGCTCAGGTGGTTTCGATCCCAGGGACGAGCATCAATCATCATCGGTAGTGCAGGTGTAATGCGATCATTGTCACTGAGATAACCCAGTACGATATTCACTTACGAAGCGTGTCAAGTGACATAACAGAGATTATCTATATCAGCGTATCTAAATACTAAAAGAAACTATTTCAATAGCGTGTTATTTGTTAGGGCAGGTCTTTGACTCGCATAAGAGATGTTGCAAAACATTTGTGTATTTATGTGCGGTAAATACGCACAGATTTCAAATTGTATGTGCTTTCTTTCAAAAGCAAATTCTGTTTATAACCAAAGAACTAGAAAAGATTGATAATGTAATGCGGTTTTAATTTAAAAATATAATATAAAGACAAGTAATTTATTTTGGTCAAAAAAGAAAAGAAGCTCACACATATATAAGAATTGAAAATGTAAATTGACAAGAAAATTATTTTTTTTTCGATAATTGAACTTGTATTATATTATTCGTACTTTGACTAACTTTTGAAAACTTTCACGTTTTATTAAAAACAAGTAGGTGTATTGTGCACATTATAAATATTTCTGTTTTCTTCATATTTTTATTAATAAGACATGTTTTGAAGTTTAGTAAACCTTTCTCTTGCTTCTCCTGAATGACACAGTTTGCTCAAGCTAGTTCCGCATGACTATGCATTTTATAAGCTTGCGCATGCACCTTAAAGTTAGCTAATTTGATATTTTATAACTTTAACAATATTTATTTCTAGAAATTCAAACATATCCAGTTTGTTTAACGTAAGCGTAAATTGTTAAAAGAACAAGAATGTTTACATTTATAAACAGCTGCGTCAGAAAATCAATAAAACATAAACAATGTTTATATTTAGCATGTTGTTTTATTGATTGGATAATGAAAAAATAAACAATGTTACAAAAATATATTTTGCTACTATAAATTGACATGTGAAGAAACTATTATTAATAGGGGAAATATTTTCAGGTTCCTAAAATGGTACCTGTGAAGTCTACTGAAGATCACATACTGGGCGGACAAAGAAGTTAAGAACCGGCACGTATGTTAAATATTTTTAATAAATATAAGAAAATAAGAGCGAATGATGTGCCGTAACAAGAAAAAGCCCAGTTAATGCTCTACATCTACCCTGTAGATCCGAATTTGTTTGATAGGAGGCGACAAATTCGGTTCTAGAGAGGTTTGTGTGGTGCATACAAAGCAACGGTGATCTTCGAATTATAAATCCAGTTTATATAAAATATATATCTATAATCTAGTTTATATAAACCATTTAACTCTCTCAGTTTATGTAAAATATATCCATATATACATGTATTGTTTATCATTAATTATCACTTTTTTTAGTGTTTGACATTCGTAAATATGTAACATGTGTTCTATTGTGTGCGTGTGATACATGTAAAAAACATAACGCAGTTTAATTGCTTGTGTTATAAATAATGTATGCGTTTATAAGAAACGCGCATTAATTTAAAACTGTGACAAAAAGCTTTTATGCTATAAATAGGTTTTAAGATTCATAAATAATATGTAAGGTATATTCTCTTCTTGAGCAATATGTGTGTGTGTGATTTGCATGTTACACAATTTACACATGATTGTCCAGTTAATTGATTACAGTTAAATTTAGTTAGAGATACTTCTGAATTCACTCATGCATATTATTAATAGTGATAGAAAAATAATATAAATACACAAAAAAATTAATGAGCGTCATTACGCCCATGGACTTGGATTTCACATTGATATACTGTCGATGATGAACTGCTACGTCTAACGTGACCTGTTGCATATGTAAGTTCACTCACACATCGCATTAAACTGCACATTCTCTTATTTTGTACAGGTAGATTCAAATTATATTTACACACAATTTCATTTACATATGTGTAATCAATATTAGTATAAATCAAACCATTTGTACGCAAATTTTAACTCAACGCTGTTGAGTTCTAAAACAAACTTTATTTACATATTTAACTTATTAAATATATATATAAATATATATATATGTATATTATGTACATATAAAATATACACTAGCATATATATTTTATACAAGAGAAAGAGAAAGAGAGAGAGAGAGAGGGAAAGAACCTTCAAAGATTAAAACTGTAAGATTACTGTTGTTCTCTTTTTATTTTATTTACATATAATACATACTACGATTAATGCTTTTTGACAGAGAAGTACTTTGAACATTTTTTTCTGCGACATGTAAAGAGAGAAGGTCTTACTTTTTCAGCAAGAGACACCTTAACTTATAGCAGTATGTATGTGTGCAAGCGTGCGTGTTATCTAATTTTTAAAATATGCAAATTGTTTAAAACGTATATATATATAAATATATGAGCATATACCATGTATATGTATATTATACATGCACCAATGCCTAAAAGATGACTTATGAAATAATATGCCGTAAATATTATAATTGAAAACGGATATATTTGCCGCGTATTTCTTGTATTGCATATTTTTAGAATTCAGATTTCTTCTGACGAGGATAGTTTATTGAATGGACACATATCACATGCGGATGCACGATTTCTTGAATCTTTCTGTAAAGGTTGTTGCAAATCCATTAATCTTTGATCGTGTTCATGTTAAAATGACATGCCAGTCGTTACGTAACTGCTCATAAGTGCTAATGAAGTGCATACACAGGTGTAATTACCAATCGAGTAGACTGCCCACTTTTCACTCGTAACATAATCTATAGGATTAAAAAAAAAAAAAAAAGAAAAAAAAATAGTTTCATAATAACATGACGAGAAAAAACGCTACCGCCTCACATAAATCAGCGATTTCCACCTGGCAGTTCGCATTACACATTTTCTAAGCGTTATTATATAGTTTTCCTTATGCATATCTTTATATGTGGGGTACATATGTACGTATCTTTCTCTATGTTTTAAATAAGACGTGATTTCCTTTGGCTTTGCAACATGAACGTATAATACTAATAGACGTATTTTCTAACGCAAGTAGAAAAGATACAAAAAACTTGCTATGAAAGTTTTAGAAAGAAGCAGGTATCTTACTTCTCTCCACTTTACTCAACTAGACATTTTATATACGCAAAAACATTGGCATAAAAAATATAAACACTTTATCATCTCGAAACGTAATTAAATACAACAGTACATTACAAAGATGTGTACATAGAATGTAAATTACTACTACGCGATTTTAATACACGTTACGCTGATTTTCTTACAATACACGTTAATTAACCTGTAATTATTCGTGTTTTTTGCAGCTTATCTCGACATTAATCATGTTATTAACTGCGCGATCGAATTAATTATCTAATAAAAACGAAATAACACAAAATCGTGATTAGCATATATTTGACAAAGAGTAATTTAAAAAAAAAAAAAAAAAAAACTATCCGGTATGTTAAATGTTCCATTACACGGTATTGATTTAATTCCACCTCCGGATTCACTAATAACGTAACGCAACATGGAGAAACGATGTGAAAGATCCAATCACGTTTGCATGTTCTCGATGCAGGAAGCATCGGGTGTATCGCTATATACCTCTAACATACAAGACACTCCGGGTGTTATCGGCTCGAACATCGGATCGCGATGTTAGCCGGACGTTCACGTCATCGGAGACTCGCCATTCTGGTTCGAGTGGCGTTTGCCTGGGATGGAGACAAACGGCCGCGCGCCGCAGACACGGTTGGACGCATTTACGTACGTTTCCCCGAGATCCTCTCTCGCGCGCGCACGGAGTCTCGTCTCGGGTCTAAATCCACATTCGAATGTGCGAGAAAACATAGCAAGATTAATGATTTGTGTGACACGAGGGAGAGGGTGCGCGCAGAGAGACCGCCAGCCTGCCTGCCTGCCTGCCTGCCTGCCTGCCAGCCTGTTCGTTCGCCGACGGCGACGGCTGCGGCGCCGCCGCCGCAAGGAAACGCGAGAACTGCGGCACTTATAGCTTTGCCACTTTTCTCATAGCGCATTGTCCGTATTTCTTCGTCACGCAGCGGCGGCGAGCCTTCTTACGAAACTATTGACCCGATTCCATGGATTCCGCACCACTTTAAGCGACGTTCTTTAATTGATCGGCGGGGTGGGGGAAAGATACGGAGAAACAGTCGAGAAAGTATATGGCTACGTATGATGATTTGTTCTCATATCTCGTTTTTCTCGTAAAAAAAAGAATTCACGCGCGTTCAACTTGAAGGATTTATTTATTTTTTAATTTTTTTTTTTTTTAATTTTATGCACGAAGGCGCGCACTCACATACTGTTCCACGCACATGTAACATTTAATTTATGAAACGAGATAATCGCTTCTGTGAACGATGCAATAATTAAGATAGGCGAGGTGAGAAAAACTGTTTTCGCGATCGTTTGAAATGTCGAACGCATCGAGAGAGTAATTATGTTTTATTAAAATAAAACAAATAGACAGAAAAAAATCCCAGAGAAAACAATAACTTCGTCACTTTTTTTTGCAATATGCTAATTATGTCAATTATGAGTTATGCCTATCTATTTCTCCCTATCCGGCTTCTAACGCGCGGTTATCTGATTAGTTTTCGTAAATTACATCGTTCCATATTTTCTTCGCGTGGTAAATGATTGATGAATTCTAGCCGATTAACATTCCAGCTTGACGCGAGGCATTCATTTGCTGCCGGGATTGTGCCGTGTATAAAAATATAAATCTTTAACTTGTATTAGTAGTAAATCGAACGCGCTTCTCCATCATACAGTTACGAATATAAATAAAAAAACTCATCATCTAATTACACTCTTATGTATAACAAGTGCACACTTGTGTTCTCTCTCTTTGTCTCTCTCTAAGTAAGTAAACATAAATTTAAATTAAGTAATACATATTAATTTTTTTCCTTAAAACTGTAATATTATTAAAATTTTAACATACGTGTTAATTTAATCTCGTAACAATAGTGTAATTATATATATATTCAACTATACTGTTGCATCTACTATTTTGTTCATGTAATATGAATTATATTTTTAAAAACTGAATACATTTTACTTCACCATTCTCTTTCTCTTTGAATATCGGCATTCACAATGGAATATGAATGTAGTAGGTGTCTGATGTATTTAAAGCGTGCGTCTCGTGAAACCAAAACGGAGGAAACAAAAGGGGTTGGACAAGTAAGTGAGTCCCACGTACAATGCAAACAGGCCTCGGTCGCTCTGACAGATTCGTGTCTGTCCTGGTTGTCGTGAATGATGAGA